GCTATGGAAATGATAGCTTTCAATTTCAAGTATAGCATGTTCCTGTCAATGGTGAAATTTGCGGAAGCTAAGAGGGAATTTCCATGGTTGAAATACCCTAATCTTAAGGAAAAATATCCGAACTCTTATTAAAATGAAATGTTCCATCTCTTTCTTGAAGAGTTCCTAAGTATATATAGTTACATGAAATGGCTATACAAATAAAATATAAATGAGGCTATTCTACTAAAACCAAAATTGTAGTCTTAGTGTTACAAGGCTAAAGATACTAAAGGTATCAACTATTGAGCTGGGCCTGTTGCGGAGAAGACTTGGGCTGTGTACATATGTGTATGTCAACAGTTCCTCATTTTCAACTTCTCATGACCATGTAAGGTAAACGAGGCTAGCCAACTGTAAGTAATAATGGAGAGTATTCGAAGTGGCGAATCCACTGGTAACAAAATGTGATAACTAATAGGATTATGGCCGCCACATTGTTCTTGTATTATAATTAGAGTATGAGCTAGAATATAGTGCTTATTAGTGCAAATAGAAGGCTAATTTCTAGTCTTTTTTAAAACCCAAAAAAAAAGATTAAAAGGTTAGATTTATGAAGTTGAAATATGAGTAAACCATCTAGCCAATAGTTAGGATAATTAATTCTCGCAGTTGGAAATTAAAATTTATGAATTATTGTCAATATTATTATTTTTAAGGTTTTTTGGTATCGTTATTCAGTGGTGGAATGACGTGGTCCAAAGTAAAGTTCATGCAAAGAAAGCGGTGTTCCTTAAGTTAGCGGAGAGCACAGACGAGAATGAGAGGAGAGCGAACGGAGGAAGATATAAGGAAGCTGGGAAGGAGGCAAGCGGTCACTGAGGCTAAGACTGTTGCGTTTGGTCGTTTGTACGTGGATCTGGGGGCCAGAGGAGGGGAGAAGAAGTTATTTTGGCTGGCCAAGGAGAGAGAGTAAGGGTCGTGACCTGGACCAAGTGAGGTGCATCAAAGACGAGGATGGCAGAGTACTAATGGAAGATACCCAGATTAAGCGGAGATGGCAGGCTTACTTTCATAAACTTCTGAATGAAGAGGGAGACAGAGACATTGTGCTAGGGAAATTGGGGCACTCCGAGAGTTACTGAGACCTTAGGTATTGTAGGCATATTAAGGTTGAGGAGGCCATGGGTGCTAAGCGCAGGATGAGTCGGGGCAGAGCTACCGGACCAGACGGATTTTGGTAGAATTGTGGAGGTGTGTGGGTAGAGCAGGCTTGGAATGGCTGACTGCGCTATTTAATATTATTTTCAGGAAGAAGAAGATGTCGGATGAATGGAGGTGGAGCACGATGATACCGCTATACAAGAACAAATATGATATTCAGAGTTGTAACAAGTATAGGTGTATCAAGTTACTAAGTCATACTATGAAAGTTTGGGAGAGGGTGGTGGTTGAGGAGGGCGGTTTCTATTTCTGACAACCAATCCAGGTTCATACCGGGTTGTTCGACTGGGGAGGCTATCCACCTTGTCAGGAAGTTGGTGGAACAGTACAAGGATAGAAAGAAGGACTTGCACATGGTGTTTATTAACCTTGAGAAAGCGTATGACAAGGTTCCTAGGGAGGTACTTTGAAGACTCCTGGAGGTGAAAGGTGAGTCGGTAGCTTGCATTAGAGTGATATAGGAGATGTATGATGGAGCTAAGACTCGGGTTAGGACTGTGGGTGGTGAGTCAGAGTATTTCCCGGTTGTAATGGGGTTGCACCAAGGATCTGTGCTCAACCCATTCTTATTTGCCCTGGCGATGGATGCACTCACATACCATATTCAAGGGGAGGTGCCTTGGTGTATGTTGTTCGCTGATAATATAGTTCTGATTGATGACACGCGAGGCAGCGTTATCGAGAGCCTGGAGTTTTAGAGACAAACCCTTGAGTCTAAGGGTTTCAAGTTGAGTAGGACTAAGACAATATATCTGGAGTGCAAGTTCAGCGACGTGACGGGGGAAGAAGATTTGGACGTGAGGCTTGACTCACAAGTCATCTCTAAGAGAACAAATTTCAAGTACTTTGGTTCAATTATCCGGGGGGTGGGGAGATTGACGAGGATGTCGCGTCGTACAAGGGTGGGGTGGACGAAATGGAGGTTAGATTCTGGAGTCCTGTGTAACAAAAAGATGCCACCGAGACTTAAGGGCAAGTTTTAAAGAGCGGTAGTTAGACCGACCATGTTATATGGGGCTGAATGTTGGCCAGTCAAAAATTCCCATATCCAGAAGATGAAAGTAACAGAGATGAGGATGTTGAGGTGGATGCGTGCGCACACTAGGCTGGATAATATTAAGAATGAAGTTAATTCGGGAGAAGGAGGGCATGGCTTCCATAGACAATAAGATGTGGGAAGTGAGACTTAGATGGTTCGGGCACGTGCAGAGGAGAAGCCAAGATGCCCCGGTTAGGAGCTGTGAGTGGTTGGCTTTGACGGGTATGCGCATGAGGTAGAGGGCGGCCTAAGAAGTATTGGGGTGAGGTGATCAGGAAGAACATGGCGAGAGTTCAGATATTCGAGAACGTGGCTCTATATAGGAAGGTGTGGAGGTCGAGCATTAGGGTTGATGGTTAGGAGGAAGTCGAGTGTTTTTCTTCCTTCGTATCAGGGGTGGGGCAAGCCTGTTAGGGTGCTGTCTTGGATTATTAGTGGTGTAAGTTTGTGTCCACACTATTTTTCCGTTTTTTATAGTATGTTGGCTCTAGTTGTTGTTATTGCTTCTCCATCTAGTTTATGTTTCCTACTATGCTTATATTATCTTTCTGATTTTTGTTGTTGTCACAGATTCTATTGTCTATTTTCGTCTTCTTGAGCTGAAGGTCTCTCGGAAACAGCCTCTCTACCCCTCTGGGGTAGGAGTAAGGTTTGTGTACATTCTACCCTCCCTAGATCCCACTTGTGGGATTTTACTGGGTTGTTATTGTTGGTATAATTATTTAGAGGGTGTTTGGCTAAGCTTATAAGCTGGTCAAACTGGCTTATAAGCACTTTTTGGCTTATCTACGCATTTGGTAAAATTAAAAGTGCTTATAAGCCAAAAATAAGTCAAAAGCCATAAGTTGGTCTCCCCCAACTTATCAAATTTCAGCTTATAAGCAGTTTAAGTTTGACCAAAATATTTACTGTTCTATCCCTAAAATACTTCTTTTTAAAACAAAACTCTTCGTATGTCCGGTTCTTTAGCTACATATTATTAATTTCAGCACTTGTATCCAAACACGTAACTGCTTATTTTTTAAATCAGCTTCAGCACTTAAAATGGTGCTTTTCAACACCTAATGCTTATTAGCTACTCTAAATCAGCTAAGCCAAACGGGCTCTTATAAACTATTCGATTTATAAGGCTTTATGATGGAAAGATCAATGAAAAAAAATGAATCTTTGTTATCTCGTTACATAAGAAAATAGTTTAGGGGGACAAAAGCGAAATTCCTATAAATCATCCATATTGATATCATGTCATTATATTATAGCGTGAAATACACGCAAAATCTAAAAATAATATTCAACAATATTTATTATTAATATCATTACAATTATAGTATTTATTATTGCATATTAATTCTCCGGCTGATGTTCTTTAAAAACAGATAATTATTAGGTAATCTTGAAGGCCTATTCGGATGTGCGTCGCAGGGATTTGGAGTTCCAAGAGGATGATTGGGTATTCTTGAAAGCTTCTCCCATGGAGGGGATAATGCAACTTGGGAAGAAAGGGAAATTGAGTCCAAGGTATATCGGACCGTACAGAATCTTGCAAAGGGTTGATCAAATGGCTTATAGACTCGAGTTACCTCCAGAGATGTTCTTAGTGCATCCGATATTTTATGTGTCCATGTTGAAGAAGGTGATTTCCTTTGTAAAATCAACATTGAAACAGCAATCAACATAATATTGCTATAGTTGTTTAAAAAAATCAAACTATTCCAAATAATTAGTACTATTAGCATCCAAGGATCAACATTCTTCGTAGTATAGAAATTCCTATAGAAAGTGTAATTTGATAAATGAGACCAAACATAAGTTGGTTAGAATATGAATGCATTCACTAATTGGCTTAATTGGATTGCTTAGGCAGCAAAAGTGCAAAACTTATTCACAAGAAAGTTTTGTCAGAAAATAGAAGAAAAAATAATTGTTTTGTTTGTTAGTAATGTCTTTTGCTCTCTGACGGCTGTGTATAATAAAGTGCCTACTCCCTTTTTTGAAATTGAAACGCAGTAGTCAACCCAATGAATTTCTTATTCGAGACCTTTCAACCTATAGCAGCCATTATTGAAACGCAGTTCCCTTGACCACGTGCTTAAGGGCCGGAGCTAGCTCAAAAAATACGGATTCGAAGCGAGTCCAGTAATTTTGGTTTAAATTTTGTATTTGTTTTAATACGCTTTGGAGTAACATAAAATTGTCTCTCTTCGAGTCGTAAAATTAGCAATTGATGCTTTCATTAGGCCAGACTGCCTACATTACACTCCACTGAGGTGTGGTCCTTTCCGGGATCCTGGCATCCTGCATGAATGCGGAATGTTTTGTGCATTGTACTGCTCTTGTTCTTATACGTACAAATTATTACTCCCTCTATTTCAATTTAGATGACACGCTTTCCTTAGTCCGTTCCAAAAAGAATGACATATTTCTACAATTGGGAATAACTCAAATTTAAACTCTTTATATTACCTATTTTACCTTTATTGGAAAGCTTTTATAACCATACAAATATCATGAACTAACAAAACTTTTACCCTTTAAGCTTCAAAAAAAAAATTCCGTTAAACTCCATACCAAGTAAAACTACTCATCTAAATTAAAACGGATAAAGTGATTTAGAACTCAATAACTTAAAAGACTAAAATCTCGTACTCATAATAGTGTACTTCAAATTCTGGCTCCATATGGGACTAAGTGAGGAGTACATGTTATTTAACTGGTCCACAAAGAAGGAACCTACTTAGTGATACTTTTCTTTGTGAAAATGGATGGAATAGAGCACAAATATGTTAAAGTGAGTGGTCTAAATCTCCATGTAGCTGATATTGGACATGAATCTTCTCCGGCTGTTGTGTTTTGCCATGGATTCCCAAAAATTTGGTATTCTTGGCGGCACCAGATGATCGCTTTAGCTAGTGAAACGATCCGACTGGTCGTTTTGATCTCTAGCGCGTCGTTCAGCAGTTTGAGGCCATGAGCAACTTCACTTCAGGTATTATGACTTGTACACATGGTCGGAATTGAATTTCGGGAAGTTCGGAGTTGATTTGGAAAGAGAATTCTCATTTCGGAAGCTTCAAGTTGAAAGAATTGACTAAGATTGGGTCTTTGAGTAAGCGACCTCGGAATCGGGATTCAAAGGTTCTAGCAGGTTCGTATGATGATTTCGGACTTGGGCGTATGTTTGGATCGGGTTTGGAAGACCCGGGAACATTTTGGCACCTATTGTGGAAGTTAGCATTTTTGGAAGAATTTCATAAATTTGGGTTGAAGTGCATCTCAGTGTTATCAATGTCCGTTTGGGATTTCGAGTCTGGGAATAGCTCCATATGGTGATTCCGGTATTGGGAGCGCGATCGGAAGTGAATTCGGAGGTCTGTGGGTCGTTTTTGAGTCATTTGGCTAAAGATGAAAATTTGAAGATTTTTGAGAAGTTTGACCGGAAGTGGACTTTTTGATATCGGGGTCGGACTCCGATTCCGGAAGTTGGAGTAGGTCCGTAGTGTCGAATATGACTTGTGTGAAAAATTTGAGGTCAATCGGACATGATTTGATAGGTTTCGGCATCGAATGTTGAAGTTTGAATTTCTCAAGTTCATCAAGATTGATTTGGGGTGTGATTCGTGATTTTAGTGTTGTTTGATATGATTTGAGGCCTCGAGCAAGTCCGTAATGTATTTTGGGACTAGTTGGCATGATTGGTCGGGATCCCGGGGGACTCGGGAGGATTCCGGGTGGTTAACGGATCGAACTTTGAATTTGAATAAAAGCTAAGGCAGCTGATATCTGGTGTAACCGCACCTGCGAGGTTATGGCCGTAGGTGCGGAGCCGCAGAAGCGACCTGAGAGTCGCAGGTGCGGAATGGGCAGCCAAGGGAAGGACCGCAGATGCGGGGCATTGGACGCAACTGCCCAAGCGCAGAAGCGAGGGAACTGACAGCAGAAGCGATTTTTGGCCCTGAGCCTGGGACCGCAGAAGAGAGGGCCGCAGGTGCGGAAAGGCTGGAGGCAGTTTTGTTCTTTTAAAATAGGGAGATGGTCATTTTTCTTCCATTTTCATTTGGTGTGGGCGACTTTGGAAAGCTTCAAGTGGGGATTTTTCATCATCAACGACAAGGTAAGCTAACCCCACCTATCTTGAGTTAAATATATTAATTATGTATGGATTTTAGCATGAAAATTAGTGGAAAACTTGGGGTTTGAGGGAAAACCTAGAAAATTTGTATTCATGGATTTTGACCACGATTTTGGACATGAAATTAAGAGTAAATTATATATTTGAGTTCGTGAGGTTTTGGGTAAAGTTTATCTTCAAAAAATTTCGGAAATCCGGGCATGTGGGCCTGAGGGCGTTTTGTCAACTTTTCAATCGGGGTTAGGAATTGTTATAAATTGGATTATTATGAATAATTGAACATATATTAATGAATTTGCGCAATTATTGGCTAGTTTTGGAGCGTTGTGCATCAATTTAAGCCTTCGGAAGGGCGTGGAAGGCCAGTTATGGAACTTCGGAGCGAGGTGAGTCTCCTTTCTAACCTTGTAAGAGGGAATTGTCCCCATAGGTGAATTAATTGGTTATGTGCTCCTATTTGCGGGGGCTACGTACGCACGAGGTGACGAGAGTCCGTGCGTAGCTACTATTATGCTTAAGTCCGGGTAGTCTAGGACCCAAAAGCATGTCTTACTTGTAATATATGAAATCTTGTTGTCAAATTGAAATGCCTAAACATATTGAAACGTATAAATGAATTTATAAAAAGTAGACATTCGTTTCCTGACTTTTAAAAAGAGAGTTTTCCTTTTATTAGATGATTGATTCCCTGATGGTTTCTTGATTGACTGTTTGGAGTGTTTATTTAAATTTGACCGCGTCGCATGTATGATTCCCGAACAGGGTAATAGATGCATCTATGGTTCACGCCATTCGACCCTTTGGCAGTACACAGTTTAAATATTGTTGGATCGGGCCGTACATCCTCAGCATGATTTGCGCATGCTTCTATTGCTTGCCTTGTAATTTACTGAAGTTGATATTGCTTCTTCCCGTCTTGAGAATATGTGTATAAATGATGAAAAAGGAAATTGGAAATTTTCATATAAATGAAAGAATTGTTTACTTGCTTCACTCTATTGAATTACATTCGTGTTTATATAAACCCTCGACTTGTCATATTATTGATGTATCGTCATTGGACCACTAGTAAGTATCGAAGTCGACCTCTCATCTCTACTTCTTCGAGGTTAGGCGGGATACTTACTGAGCACACATTATTTTCGTACTCATACTACACTTGTTGTGCAATTTTGTTGCACAGGTTCATGTGTGGCTAGCGGCTTAGAGGCATAGCGGCATGGTTGGTAAGGAGACTTAGGTGGGCTGCATTTATCGAGACGACCCGCAGCCAGCAGAGTCTCCTTCAGAGTATTATGTTGTATTTTCATTTCTGTCCACTTTGTATTTCGGACAGTTACTGTATTTTATTTTATTCCCTAGTAAATGCTCATGCACTTGTGACACCGGGTTCTAGGATGATTATGGGGTATTTTGTATTGACTTCTTGACATTTATATTTAATTTGAAATGAGTATCTTTTACTAGTAAAATTGAAGGAAAATAAAAGTTTTCGCAATTATTTGAATGAGAATTTAATTAAGTAATTATGGATGGCTTGCCTGACAACGGTGTCCGGCGCCATCACGACCCTTAGTGGATTTTGGGTCGTGACAACATGGTATCAGAGCACTAGGTTCCCTTAGGTCTCACGAGTCATGAGCAAGTCTAGTAGAGTCTCGCGGATCGGTACAGAGACGTCTGTACTTATCTTCGGGAGGCTACGGGGTTGTTAGGAGCACTTCCCTTCTTGATTTCCTCATCATGCAATTTGATTCCTTTGAGGTATATGCCTTTGTTTCCTTCCCAATCAATCTTATGCGACGCGAAGCGCTTATTATAAATTAGGAATTGAAAAATTTTAAAGGTACTACAGAGGTGGTACGGGATGCTTCTCCCGGCGTGGTTGATTTGACTACTGTCGTCGCCTTGTGGAATGGATATTCTGTCGTTTCGGCTCGATAGCTGTATTTCTGAGAGCTCTGAGGCTAGGCACAAGTTGCCATCATGCTTATGAATGATTGTCGCAGTATTGACGTGATGGTAGGATGCTTGCCTACGTGTTGGGGGTGGTGAATGACTCGAAGGGAGGTTTACTCAGTGCATGATTTAGAGATTCGGTATTTTATCCCCGACGGGGAAAAGCAAATGGGCTAAGGATGTTCAGATTTGGGTTGATGGAGTAACAAGGCTTGGAATTTGCGAGCGTGGTGGAATTTTCATCTGTGATGGGGTGCCGTTGTCCCTGTTGGATGTACTAAGTTCGCCGGTGTTAAGACTTTCAACAATTCGCCTTTGGGGCAGGATATTTTAAGATAGTATTGGAGAAGCGGCTATCAGAGATCGCGGGGTGCGGTGGTTCAGGATTTAATGTGTATTTCTAATGTTGACGGCCCGAGAAAGATGATCTTCGCAAAGGTTTAGAAGTTAGTATCGGTCTATCGGATCAAGAGCCACTGAGTCAGATTTGGATCTAAGGCATCAGCTGAGCAGCAAAGGTGATGAAGGATATGTAGAAGGTGTCATGCGGTGGTTAAATTTCTAGAAGGCCAAGTGTAAGAAGCGGGAGTTGAATAGTTGTTTAAAGAAGAGGGTTTGGCCAAAGTGGGAGAGTGGCAGAGTAGCACGTGGGTTCAGTGGCGGAATAATTACACCCTTGAGAAAAGTTTGGAGTGGTTTGGGTAATTTTAGTGGACGGTGATTGGGTCTACGAACTTAATTTGAAATATTGGCTAGCATAACGCCGGGAGATTTGATATGACGGAAAGGAGCTTCTTAATATGAAGAAGGATACAACATAACTTTGAATTGGAAGATATTGTCGCACATATAGTTAATGTCCACGAGGGGTGAATGGACTTATACAGCTGGTGGGTGAGCGCGGGCTCAGAATGGGCTATTGATGTCGTAGTGATTGTGCCTCGTGCAGCGGCGTTGGAAGATGTCGGCGTGTAATCTCTACAGGTGGGTTATCTCCTGTGAGCAGATCAGCGGTCGCGTGGTTGGTGAAGCTTCTGCGAAGAATCCTACTGGCTATCTGGTAAGGAGGTCGGACATGTGAATGTGGTTAATGATTCCGAGTATTCATAAATGGTTTGCAGAAAGGTTTCGAGGAGCTTGACAGGTTGGTTGTGCTAAATCATGTCAACAATGAAGAAAGAATCTTGTTGGATTTCGGAGTTGCGTAATGGTGGCTTCAAGCTAAGTGGGAGAGTCCCACCGTCTATGATGGGGTTGTATGATTATCTTCTTGTGAGGTTTCAGGTTATCGGCTTATTGGTAAGTTGTTTCGGCTAAGGAAAGAGAACATCATTAGTAATTTGATGCAAAGGAATTGAAGAACGTGTTCTATAATTGACGTCTCAATTCATGTTCAGGCTTTGGGAAGACTCAGGAATTATGCTTTGCGCAGAAGTGAGTTGCAATTAAGGTGATTCGGCCGGGTGCTTCTTTGAGAGGGTGGTCATGGGCTAGCGGAGCCTTGCAGTTGATTATATTCGAGATCGTGTCGGAGTGGGTGACTCTCAATAACGGTCCTAGTGAATTCAGAGGTTGAAATGCGATGCCTAAGGGTTCAAGCCCGCGGTATGTTTAAGAATCGAGCTTGTGAAGCAGCTTATAATAAGAGGCTCAGAATTGTTCTAAGATGTTTTGGCTTGCAGTGTAGCATTTGGGAGGAAAGGGAGAAAAGGACTTCGGATTCGTAGAGGAATTATCAGAATGGGTGTGCCAGTCGAGATGCGAATATGCGCACAAGGAAGGTATGGAGTGGTTCGTGGGATTGGAGACAACATGGTCTCG